AGGATTGAGGATCTGAGGAAGCGGCATGTAGAGGTCTCCCAGCCCCCTCTGCCCCCTGCCCCAGGTGAGGGAGAATACACGGGCTACGGGAGGAGGTGGGGGAGGCAGGTTGCGAGCCGAAGAGTGTCAAGTCTTGGCCTCCTTGTTGCTCTCCAGAGCCTGTCGGGGGTCGGGGTGGGAGTTGAGTGGGAGCTGTGTTGGCCGAAGGCTAAGGGAGGAAAGTCCTGTGGTGGTGGCTGCTGGCCACACATGGGTCACGTCTCAGTGCCTGTCCACCCTCCCCTCCGATCTGTACTGGAGCTAAGCACAAAGCCTTCACAGCCACACCTGTTCTTTTTCCCAGCCCACCACTCCTTCTATCTGACACTGAGCAACCAGAGGAGAAGCCCCCCAGAGGAGCCGCCTGACTTCTGTTGTCCTAAGTGCCAATATCAGGCTCCCGATATGGACACCCTGCAGATACATGTCATGGAGTGCATCGAGTAGGGCCAGCGCACTCAAAGGCCGCTGCAGACGCCACGCCCAGGACTGTACCTTGCCCAGAGCTAAGGACTCGTGAGAAAGAGTGGCTGCTGCGTCAGTCCCCTGGAGCGGGCCGAGGGCCTGCACTCCAGCCCTTGGGTCTGCCGGGTCACATCTCACGTGGTGCCTGGAGCCGCCGTTAGGCCTGATGCTCTACTCTTTTTGTACCCATCCCTCCGCTTGAACCACTTGCCTCTGGGGCTGATCTTTCCTCCTCTTCCCTCTCCTCCTCCCCAGTCTCCCACCCCCACTCCCTGCCCAAGTCAAGAGTGGAGGCTGGGGCCCTCAGGGAGATCTTCCTGCCAGCACTGACTCAGCCTCTCCTCTTGGGCTGTGTGGTGTCCACCGTGTGACCAGGCCACATTGTATTTAACAGTGTTGGTGCTGCTTGCAGTCTTTTGTTGTCAGAAAACATCCTTGTGCATTATTCACGTGTCTTGGCAGCAGCACTGCAACCCCCGCCTCCCTGGAGCTTGGTTTTCTGCTCCCATGGTTTGTCTGTACCCGTGCCAAGGAGCAGGAGGGTGAACCTGTTGTGTTTTGCTATCAGCTAATGGCGTTAAGTGTCTTCAGAGTTGAAGGCCCTTTTCAGTTCCTCTGTTGGGAATGGGCTGTTCGTACCTTTTATACATTTTCCTATTCAGTCATTAAGTTTTGTTCCTTGGTTTCTAGAAGGTGGTTGGTCATTAGCACGGTTAGCTTTTGTCTGTGATAGCAATTGCAAGTATCTTTTCCCACATTGACTTTGCTGCTAGTGATTTTTGACGTTGAATTTGTTTACCTTTACGTCGTCACATTGATCCGTTTGTTCTCACTGCTTTGGGCTTGGAGTTGCTGTGACCATGCGTGCTTTGACAGAGGCTGCTTCACACGTGTCTACTTGGCTTTTTCTAACACAGAAATCTGTTCTTGTGCGTGCAAAGAGCCTTACTGACCACACTGAGTACTCCCTCTCTCTGAATGTATTTCCATGATGTGTTGAAAACATGCTAATGTTCATAAGATTTTTTTTTACTTATGCTGAATCTATCTAGAATCAGATGAATTGTCTGTCTTACAAGGAGTAGGGTACCACTTGGGTTGGTGTGTGAGGTACACAGGGAGTATATGTCTTTTGAATTGTTTTATTCTTGTAATCTAACTCAAAGAAATGCTAACTAGGAGGGTGCTGAGGCCACTCTATAATTTTATGTGTGTGTTTATGTAGAATTCTATTGTCAAAAGAAAGCTAATGAATAAATTAAGCAAGTATGTCATTCTACAATTTACACTTCTGAAGTTCCCATGAATAGTATATAGATTGTGTTAATCCCCACCTACTACACTTTAAGTCGGACTTTGTCTATCAGTTCTGTTGATGTCATTTGCTAGACATGCTTTATTTGATTATGTTTCCTATACAAATGCATAACGGGATAGCCTATTAAATAAATCTAATGTTTTTTTTTTAAAGAATGAGTTTTCCTGACCAGCACGAGTGCTTACAGCCATGAGTGTTAGCTCTGTAAATCTAGTAAAGGAAGACAGGTTGGAAGTGAGAAAGAGTGTGACGTGTTCGCACTGCTGACTCCTCAGTGCCTGGATCCTCTTCCCACCTCCGCCAAGCTCCTTGAGCTGGGATTGGGGTGTTGTGAATCTACCCCTGATCTTTTGCACAGGCTTTCCTGTTGCTTGACAGTGATGTGGCTGACTGCAATTAGCTTAAAGGCTTTCTGAAACAAAGCCTGGGCTGGGGGCTTTCTCAGCGCCTGCCCTGGAGGAATGGCCCCAATGTACTTGGGGAAGTGTTAAAGGCAGACAGGTTCTCTGTGGGCACTATGGTTTTGTTATAAGGGCACTTTTAAAAAAAATTTATTTGAAAGGCAAAGTCATACGGAGAGAGAGAGAGAGAGAGAGAGAGAGATCGAGATCGAGATCGAGATCGAGATCGAGATCGAGATCTTTCAATCTTTCAATCTTTCATCTGCTGGTTCACTCCCCAAATGGCCACAGTGGCCAGGGCTGTGTTTGGCTGAAGTCAGAAGCCTGGAACTTCATCCTGCTCTCCCGTGTGGGTGGCAGGGAGTACTTGGGCCATCTGCTGCTGCTTTCTCAGGTGCATTAGTAGGGAGCTGGATCAGAAGTGGAGCAGCTGAGACTCAAAGTTGTGCCTATATGGGATCCTGGCATTGCAGGCAGTGGCTTAACCCTCTGTACAACACCAGTCCCTACAACATCACTTGTAGGGGAGTGTATGAGTGTGTGTGTGTGTGTGGGCTTCCTGTGGCTGCTGTAAAAATCAGCGCAAACTTGGTGACTTCATACAAGAAAACCCCTTTCTTCTATGGGTTTGGAAGCTAGAAATTGGACGTCTAGTCATCAGTGGTATTTGCTTCTGCAGGCTCTGAGAGATTCAATCTGGGCCTGCCTTCCTAGCGTCTGGTGGTTGCTGGCACTCACTGGTGTTCTCAGCTTGTTGACCCCTCTTGCAGGTCTCTGCCTCTCTGACCACATGGCCTTCTCTACTACTTTTATCTGTGTATTCTCTTCTGTTATTGGATGTAGGGCCCACCTAGGCAGTCAGGATCCTTACCTTCATCGCATGTGCCATGACCCTTTACACAAATAAGGTCATGTTCACAGCTTCAGGGTTTGGATGTGTGTGTGTTTCTGGGGCCCTTGCTCACCGTAGAATGGGGTATTACGTTCCAGGGCCCACATGTTATGGCAAGTGCAGACTGAAGGCACGTGCCTTCGATTTTTTAAGTCCGGCAGTTCTGCCAGAGGGACTCTGCTTAGGTTGCTGATGGCCACCAGGCTGCAGAGTTTTGTATGGGTTCAGCCTTTGCAGGTGTGGGGCCATCTAGTCTCCATCTGGGCCAGCTGGCTGCTGTTTCTACTGTGCTTCAAGCCCTTCAGTGGCTTTCTGTCATTCTTGAAACCGAAGGCCCACGCAAGCCTGGCTCACAGAACCTTTGGGCTGCTGAGCCCTGTTTCCTGTCCTTCTGCCAGCCTGCTGGGCCAGCCACGTGACACTGGACTTTCCCTCCAACATGTACCACTTGTCTTAAGTCTTTGTCCTGATTGTCCCCTCTGCCTGGAAGGTTCTTTCCACGAATCTTTGTGTGGCTGATTTCTTTCTGTCACCCCAGTCTAAGTTTAAACAGCACTTCCTTCATCTAAACGTAGTGTTTGTCTTCAATCCCGTTGCCCCGTTCTAATTCCTTGCCTGGCAGTTGAAATGACCATTCTGTTTTGTTTTGTTTTCTCTTTCTCCACTAGAGGGAGAGCAGAGGCCTATTTGTCCTGGTCAGGCAGAATCCCTGGGACAATGAATGCTCAGCACAGAGTGGCACAGGCTTATCTTGAAGCTCCATCAGGATTTCTGTCACTCTTTTTTTTTTTAAATTATTTATTTATTTGAAGGTCAAAGTTTAGAGAGAGAGAGAGAGATCGGTCTTCCATCCACTGCTTCTCTCAATTGGCCACAACAGCCGGAGCTGAGCCAATCTGAAGCCAGGAGAGAGAGAGAGAGAGAGAGAGAGAGAGAGAAAGAAAAAGATAGAGATAGAGAGAGGTCTTCCATCCACTGCTTCTCTCAGTTGGCCACAACAGCCGGAGCTGAGCCGATCTGAAGCCAGGAGCCAGGAGCTTCTTCGAGGTCTCCCATGTGGGTGCAGGGACCCAAGGACTTGGGCCATCGTCTACTGCTTTCCCAGGCCATAGCAGAGAGCCGGATCAGAAGTGGAGCAGCCGGGACATGAACTGCGCCCATATGGAGTGCTGGCACCTGCAGGCAGTGGCTTTACCCGCTATACCACAGTGCTGGCCCCTCTGTCACTCTTATTTTCGCAGACATCATCTTGTCACCATAAATCATGCTCGGTAGAAACCACTGTATGTATTAGAGATGATAACATGGAAGCCTTTTTCTAGGGACTGTAGGGTGACCAACTTGGGAAGACGTCTTAGAAGCTTTTTGTCTTTAATTTTTTCAGAATTTGTGTGGGTATATCATGTTGGCTTATAAAATATAGATGACCACAGACATGGCCACACAGAGCAGTCCTAATGTACCCCTTAGTTAATCTCTCTGAGCCTTAGTTTCCTTGTCTGTAAAATGGGCAGAATGCCATCTAAAGTTCTTGATGTGATGATGGATCTCAAGCAATTCAAGCAGTGCCTAGCCCCAGAGAGAAGGGGCAATGGTAGAAAGCACTGGTTTAGACCAGGCACAAACCTCGAGTTCCCAGTGGGTTGTAATTATGTTGAGGGCTTCAGGTGTTGGCTAAGGAAAGCTGGTGGTTGCCTAGGGCTGGAGGAGCTGAGGGTACTAGGGAGCAAGTGCTGACGGGTGATGAGAAATTGGTCGTGGTGATGGTTGAACGTGTCTGTGAACATACAAGCCACTGACTCCTACTTCACATGGGTGAATTGTGCAGTGTGTGAATTCAGTCTCCATAAAGCTGTTATTTTAAAAGATGTTGTTTAACAGGCCCTGTGCAGCCTCCTGTAATAGCTCATGAAAGTGCAGATGTAAACATGAGAAATGAGGAACATTTACATCCTCCCCCCAAGCTATATTTGACAGGTGACCTCGGATGCTCCTGTACAGGGGAGAATGGGTGACTGACCGTGTGGCATGAAGCAGGCTGAGCCCACTCTGGACTTTCCACACAGCTCAGCATTGATAACAACCACAGAGATCGGCAGCAGCCCCTCAGCTGTGCTGAGCTTGCTTTCTTTACAGTCTCCGCACCCCCTGAGGGGTGGACAGCCGCTGGTTCCTTGCATCCCTGGAGGAACAGAATGCAGTGGACCGGGGTGGGAGATGCTGGTGAGTCAGGAAGCTGGGAGACAGGGAGAGCAGCTTTTGAGGAATTCCATTGATTCCATTGGTTCCTAGTGTTACAACCTGGAGCTGGGTTCTGACTTCTGTCTGGCAGAGCTATAGTAGACAAATGCTGCTTCCTGGGAAGTAAGGCCTCTGCCTGCATCCAGGTGGCAGTGGCCAGCTTAAAGGTCTGTTTGTCCACCCTGGAAAGCATGGCAGAACAAGCAGTATCCAGTGAAGACTAAGTAAGCACAGTGACCCTAGGTATCCAGAGTAGGGAAGCTTCCATTAGATAGAAATTTCAGACACTGAGCCATTACACAGAGATGTCAGGACAACTGCCCTGAAAAAAATTTGAAGAGAAAAGGCTCAAAAAGGCAATAAGTTACAGAAAGGGACTTACATCCAAGCAATAAAACTGTTAGCAGAGGGGTGGGTGTTTGGCACACAGGTTAAGTTGACTGGGGACAACCGCATCTCCTATCAGTGAGTTGGAGTCACACCCCCACTTCTGATTCCAGCTTCCTGCTGATGCATGTCCTGGGAGGCAGCAGGTGAAAGTTCAGGTACTTGAGTGCCTGCCACCTGTATAGGTGACCTGGATTGCGTTCTTGGCTCCTGGCTTTGTCCTGGCCCAGCCCTAGCTGTTGTGGGCAATTGGAAAGTAAAGCAGTAGATGGAAGATATTTTCTCTCTTCCTCCTTCCCTCTCTCTCTACCTTTTGAATTAAAGAGAAATAATGATACTTCCTGCTGGCTTCCTTGCTGGCCTGCCTTCCTACCTCCATCCCTTGCCTGCCCTTCTTCCACTTTTTTCCCAAAAGCCCTTGGCATTGGAGCCCTCTCAAGGAGGGGGACATCTGGCAAAGGCAGTGGAAGGGATTTGGGGATCAGTGTGAAGAATGTCCCTATTGAGTACAGCAATGTCATGTGCAACAAAATTGTTGAGAGAGTCAGAGACATGTATGAGGAAGGCATACTCAGTGAGGGTGGCAGTGTCCTTGGGTGGGGTAAGGGTCCCTGGCAAGAAACATGAAAAGTTGGGTAATAGCCTGATGGGCTTGAGACATTGTCTTTGTGGTAAATATGGAAATGAAAATGAGACCCATATTTCTTGCTGTTGGGAAAAGGAGTTTATGGAAATGGAGAAGGCAATTGGAATTGGAGTTATCGGTATGAACTCATGGTTTTCAATATACAGGCAGGTAGAGAAAACAACCCTAACAGGGCTGAGTGGACACATTGGGTATGGTCTATGTGTACACATGTTTCCCAGCGCCATCACTTCAGAGGCGTGGATTGATGACATCTCAACAGCAGTGAGCCCGCCAACCCCTGCGTTTGAATTTCAAAACACAGAATCGGACTTGCTAGAGAGATGACTGAGGCTAGGGTGAGGGCGGAGAAGGCACGGGATGAGCTGGAGCATCTTGTCTTAGAAAAATAAGGACGTGCTCAGAGGATAACAGGGACACGGTCGGACTAAGGAAAAATGAGAGAGCACTCAGATTGCTAAGTTTGCTACTGACCTGACAGAAATGCAAAGGAAGAATCAGGAGCGAGAGTTTGTGAACAAACTCAAAGCTTTCCTCCCGTGCGGTTACGGCTGTTTTTGGTTGCAGAAGTTTTCAATCGAAGACCTGCCGAATACCCTGTGACTGAGCAAGAGGTGTTTACTGTGGTACATACCTAGGTTTTCTGCCAGAGTCAAGGTTTGAGTTGAGGACAACGGTCACAGTGCTTTCTCTGTGTCCATGGAGATCATCCTGTGATTTCTTTAAAAAATTTACTTATTTGGAAGGCAAAGTTAAAGAGGCAGAGAGAGAGAGAGAGTGTGTGATTTTTGTCTGAAGAGCTGAGAACAGCTGAGTGAGATCCACTGTTGTGGGTTGAAGTGTGACACCCCCCCCCCCAATATGTTCAGGTCCTAACTCCTGGTACTTGTGAATGTAACTTTGTTTGGAAATGATACCTTTCCATATATAATCAAGATGAAATAAAACTGGAGCAGGGTGGTCCCTAAATCAACATGAGTTGTGTCCTTATGAAAAAAGAAGAGGGGGCTGGTAATGTGACATACTGGGTTAAGCCATGCTTGCAATGCTGACATCCCATATTGGAACACTGGTTTGAGTCCTAGCTGCTCCACTTTGAATCCAGCTCCCTGATAATGCACCCGGGCCAGGCTGAAGTGAGGAGCTTCATGCAGGTCCCCCACATGAGTGGCAGGGTCTCCAGCATTTGGAGAAGCAGGGACATGAACTGGTGCCCATAGAGGATGCTGGCATTGCAGGCAGTGGCTGTGCCACACTGCCCCCCTCTTCCGTGATGAAAAACTCAGCAAACTAGATATGTAAGAGAACTTCCTAACCATGATAATGGACGTTTGTCGTACAATTGTTGGGAATGATGCCCATTTTTATCACTTGTATTTAGCATAAACTGGCTTTTTAGCCAGAGCACCTAGAAAAAAAAAACAAAACAGCAAAAAAAAAAAAACAAACCCTAAATTGGAGATAAAAAGTAAAATGATCTGTATTTGCAGATGACATGATCCTGTATTTGGAAAGCCCCAAGGTTACAAGGTCAACATGTAAAAATCACTTGTTTTTCTATGTACCAGCAATAAACAATCTGCTTACTAATAAATGGAAAGGCATCCTATTTATGTCATTGTTCTGAGTCGATTTTTGTATATAATGTGGAGTAGAGGGGTCCAGCTTCATTCTTTTGCATGTTGATATCTAGTTGTCCTAACTCCATTGAATAGTTTTAGCACTCATGTTGGAAATCGATTAGCCGTGGATGTATGGGCTTATTTCTGGAATCTCTGAATTGGACAACTTCATGTTGCTAAGATGGCAACACTACTAAGATGGCAACGTGATCTAAAGATTCAAGCCCCATTCCTATCACAATCCCAGTGCCCTCACCCCAAAATGTCAATCCTCAAATTCATGTGGAATTATTAGGGGCTTTGAATAGCCAAAGCAGTCTTAAAAGTTTTTTTAAAACTTTTCATTGACCCCAGTATAAAAATGTTCATTTCAGTATGTAATCAGTGTTCAAGCATTATTGAGATTTTCCTTTTGTGAAGCCCTGGTGGTGTGTGGATGACATGCAGCAACTGTTTCTGATGAGCGGTGACAGATACAAAGACACTGCCGGGTCTCTTAACATTTTTCCATGTCTAAGCCAGGCTTAAACACAATCACAAACGGGGTCACACCATCCTCATGGTTCTCCGTCAGAGCAGCCTGCCATCTGGATTTATGTGTTTACCCACATAGAATCAGTTTTTCGAATTAGCAAGTGTGTGCCTGATTTGTTCTGCAGCCCCGTCATGAAAGGTTTTACTCTTTCTGGTCTCTGTTCTTCTAGTTTGCCTGTGATTGATTTCATGTCATCTTTGATGTACTACTTTTTTTCTTATTAAGTGCAAAACAAATGCCTAGTTTTTTCATGATGCAAATTTTACAGGAACACCTTGAAGGCCCATTGTATGTGTGGATTACAGATTTTAGTATATCAAAAAAACCTTATTTTTAATTCCATTTTTACACAAGTCTTTTGCTGTACTCTTACATTAAAAGTGATAAAGCATAGCGATTCTGAAAATACACATTTAAGTCTAGACATTCTCTGTTTTTAAAAAAGATTATTTATTTGAAAGAGTTACACAGAGGAGAGGCAGAGAGAGAGAAGAGGGAGAGGGGGAGAGGGAGGGGGAGGGGGAGAGGGGGAGGGGAGAGAGAGAGAGAGAGGTCTCCCATCTGCTGCGTCACCCCCTGTTGGCCGCAATGGCTGGAGCTGCACCAATCTGAAGCCAGGAGCCAGGAGCCTCTTCTGGCAGGGGCCCAAGGACTTGGGCCATCTTCCACTGCTTTCCCAGGCCATAGCAGAGAGCTGGATCAGAAGTGGAGCAGCTGGGACTGGAACCAGTGCCTGTATGGGATGCCGGCACTGCAGGTGGTGGTTTTACACGCCACACCACAGCACCAGCCCTGATATTCTCTATTAAATGACAGAATTCGCCTGGTAGGCAAGAAAACAAATTTGACATATATAAAATTTAATTTTTAAAAATTTATTTGAAAGATCTTTTATCTGCCATTTAACTTCCCAAATGCCTGTCATACTTAGGGTTGGCCACTCTAAAGCCAGGAGCCAGGAACAAAAGCCAGGTCTCTCACATAAGTGGCAGGGTTCCAACTCTTCAGCCAGGGTACACATTAGCAGGAAGCTGAAATCAGAAAGTGGAGTATGGGGCCGGTGCCACGGCTTACTAGGCTAATCCTCTGCCTGTGGCGCCAGCACCCTGGGTTCTAGTCCCAGTTGGGGCACCAGTTCTGTCCCGGTTGCCCCTCTTCCAGTCCAACTCTGCTGTGGCCTGGGAAGGCAGTGAAGGATGGCCCAAGTGCTTGGGCCCTGCACCTGCATGGGAGACCAGGAGGAGGCACCTGGCTCCTGGCTTCGGATCGGTACTGCGCGCTGGCCTTAGAGGCCATTTGGGGGGTGAACCAACGGAAGGAAGACCTTTCTGT